GTGTTAAATATCATGTAGGGGGGTTTCCTTCTCTTGAACACAATGTAGCATTCTCATTTTTGTCTTATTCAGCACAAATTTTCATTTGCTGATATATAACTGAGGGCTGAGTTTCTGAAGGAAATTTGGTTATACAAGGAACTTTGTAAGAGAATGGGAGGAGTTGGGCAAAGAAGAGAGTAGAATTATTAAGTAATTTGTCAAACTGATGCTGTTTTGTTTTACAAAGATACATAATAAAATCATGTTCTGGGGGCGCCTGGGTGGCTCAGTTGGTTAAGCAACTGCCTTCGGCTCAGGTCCTGATCCTGGAGTCCCTGGATCGAGTCCCGCATCGGGCTCCCTGCTCAGCAGGGAGTCTGCTTCTCCCTCTCCCGCTCCCCCCTCTTGTGCTCTGTCTCTAAAATAAATAAATAAAATCTTAAAAAAAAAAAATCATGTTCTGTATGACATTCTCAACATAATGAAATTACAAAAAAAAAAAGTTATATAAAAAGTAGCATGCTTTGCTCTCAAACAGCAAACAAGAAACCTTTACATCAATATCTGTGTTTCAGAAATGTCAATTTTGTCTTAATAAAGGTGAGAGGATATCTGGTCAAAATGCTAACTGACAGCCTCCTGAGCTTGCCTTGAACTTTGAGCAAGCTTGATTGTTGGTGGTGGTAGACTACATATTGATAAAAAGATAAAGGTGAATGGCTAGACATGTCAGGAACCACTTTACTACAATTTGAAATACAGGAGTTTAGAATAGGATCTAGAAGTTTAATAGAATATGACAATCTGGGGCACCTGGGTGGCTCAGTCAGTTAAGTGTCTACCTTAGGCTCAGGTCATGATCTCAGGGTCCTGGGGTGGAAATCCACATCAGGCTCCCTGCTCAGGGGGGGAGCCTGCTTCTCCCTCTCCTCCCTGCTCATTCTCTCTCTTGCTATCTCTGTCTCTCTCTCTCTTAAATAAATAAATAAAATATTTTTTTAAAAAAAAGAATATGACAATCTACTGAAGATTAGTCAGCTCTCCTATTTTGTCTTTTCCTACACATGGTGGGTTTTTTTGTTTTTTTTTACTTTAAAAATCTTCATTTATGAGGGTTTTTGGGCCTGAAATCTTCTTTCTGAATTCTTTTTTTTAATTAACATATATTATTTGTTTCAGGGGTAGAGGTCTGTGATTCATCAGTCTTACACACACAGATGGTTCTATTAACACATATAAGCCTGTACTCCAAATCATGACATTTTCTCCTTCCTTGACCCAATTCCATGCAGCAGTGGGGCGGCTTCCTATCCTGGAACATGTCCTAATAGGTTCCTGGACTCCCATAAGAGCACATAAGCCATACTTTATGGCTTACTGGAGTACTAAAAGAAAAGCATTTACCATTCATCTGAAATAAAGAATTTTTGCACTTTAGATTTGTACCCAGTAATAGAACCTCAAATTCTCTGACAGTTTAGGAATATTGAATTTTCAGTTCTAAGAAATTATGCTAATGGAGACTTTTTAAAGAATGATCAGCTCACCCAATCTCTAGATATATAAAATGTTATCCCTGGACCATGTCTGCACACCCAGAGACAGATGCTTGTAGAATTAGTTGCCTTACTCATTCGTAGGTTACTGTTATGCAGTGCACCCAAACATTTTCTCATGATATAAATTTCTTCAGTCACCCCAGTTGCTTAATTATCAGCTTTAATAGCTCCTACTATTGGAAAGGAGGAAAGAAAAGATGGAGAAAAACTTATGTTTTGATAGGAACTAAAAATCTTATGAATCACAGCAAAAAAAAAAGGTAAGACGTAAAATAAATCTCAATGAAAAAAGTAACAAGTCAAAACATTTTTTTGTTTTGCAAATCTCTTTTCACTTAGAAGTGCTGATAAAATGTGAACTGACAGTAAGTAAATAAACAGTTGATTGTGGCTGCTTTAGATAAAGATTTTCAGAGCAAAGATAACATCACTGAAATGTGTATATTCATTCTAGATGGTAACCTGCTGTTCCTTCAATGCCAGTCTGCTTTAGCAAGAATGTTTCCGTCTGAAACCTTTTGTTTCCTGATCATTCTGGGATGTTCAAAATATGTGCCAGGTAACTAATGAGGAATTGAAAAATAAATACATACAATGGAGGCTAAGTAAGGAAAAATCGGAGTGCCATAAGTTGGACAGTACATTTTTCTTATATAGATTTAACCACGTATTAAAACTGAAAAGGATTCCATGAGGTTTTTAATTTGGAAAATTGTATTTCTGCTCTGGAGAGCCATCTTTCACATTTGTAATAATATGGCATTTTCCCTGTCTATTTCAGAAAAGCCACCGAATGTGGCAGATGCTTACAAACTATGGACCAGGGCAGTGTCATTATGGTTTCCCTTGAATTAACATGTGGAAAAGCACTACTGCTTTTTTTTGCCACTATGAAATAATGTTTGCACTCTTCTTCTGTTTATAATTTTATTTATTATGTCTTAATTTATATTTACATTATAATTTATTATTATATTTAATATAATTTATATTTTATATTTAATTTATATTTACATTAAATACATTAAATATAATGTATTTGCATTTTAAAAACTTATAATTTATATATTAAAATATGTATAATTTAATTAAAATTAATTTAATATATTAAATATAATTGTATTAAATAAATATAAAAATAAAATATTAAATATAATATATTTACATTAAATATAATGTAATATTTAAGGAGTGAAAGATAAGCTATGATATTGGTTAAGTAAGAAAATAGAAGTTTAGCTCATATAAATGTCTTTAGTGATTTTTAAAAGTCCACTGTATCTCAAAAAGTTTTCTATGCTAACCACAGAGGAGAATATGCTCTCACTTACAGAAAATATACTGATTAATCTAGTAAAGTGTCTTATAATATCCATCTTTTATTTATGGAGATTTTACTATGGATTTTACACATCTATGTTTTCTCTTATATTCAAGAGTGAGGGTTCAGACTTGACTCTCATTCACACATGATGCTAGATTTCATTCAAAATTGGCCATTGCCAAATACTAGACAGTTATGAAAAATTTAGAAAAGTAGGCTTAGCTGCCAGTACGCACTGATAAGCTTTTCAGAATGTCTCCCTGGAAGATGCTTGGTTCAAACTAATATGTTACTCCACCATTATCCTAAATGCTATATTTCATTTTTAAAATCAAGACAAAAACTTGGGACACCTGGGTGGCTCAGTGGGTTAAGCGTCTGCCTTCGGCTCAGGTCATGATCCTAGGGTCCCGGGATCGAGCCCCGCATTGGGCTCCCAGCTCAGTGGGGAGCCTGCTTCTCTCTCTCCCTCTGCTTCTCCCCCTGCTTGTGCTCTCTCTCTCTCTCTCTCTCTCAAATAAATAAATAAAATATTTTTAATTAAAAATAAATAAATAAAATAAAATCAAGACAAAACTTAAAATAATTTTCCTTATTGTAGTACATTACACATAAATCATTTCTTAAAACCTCCAGAAAGCATAGCTTCCTAATTGAATAAACTAAATATATGAATTATTATTAAAATTCAGAGGAAAACCTAGTTATCTGCAACCGATAAGAGCAGGTACATCACATACAGTAAATATTAGGAAATGTCCAGGAAAACACTTCCCTCTGGTAGCTAAAATATAAAATACAATTATTTTATTTTTAATTCAATACTTATTCAAAAAACAATACATGATTGTTTCCTGGATTTCTTCTGTGATTAAATTTGTTAACATTATGCACTTAATTGCTGAGTTTTATTTCTTACTGGATAATTCTCAGACCCAAGTCATTTCATGTCTTTCTTACAAGCTTTCTAATGTCTATGAGATATATAAAGTCAGTGCAAATATTTCTAAAGAGTTTTATATACTCAGGTAACTAAATTACAGCGTTAACAATTAAAGTAATAGGTCATCATTTGCATGACCCTTGAAATGGGACCTCTCAATTGACTCCAAGCCTCAATTGACTTTCAGTTGCATGCCCTTTGCAATCCACTGTTGCTCTTTTGGTTTTGTAGCACTGTCTTATTTTTTTTTTCTCCAGGATACACATCAACTGTCAGGATCTCTGTCTGTTGAGTTTTCCCACAGTAATCTCTGTACCAGACAATTCCCAGCCCAGTCAGTCCCTGTGATGCTTTAGTAAAGGTCCTTTTCATCTATCTATCTATCTATCTATTTATTTATTTATTTATTTATTTATTTATTTATTTATTTTGCAGTCTCAATTCTTTGTCACCCCACAACCACCACTAGAGGCCACGTAATGTTGAGATGAAAGCTCCAATATACATTAATAGGTATAGATAAATAGTTTGAGAACAGACTCACCCAACAGCTCTCACCTCTATTGAGATCTTCTCTTCGGGACACCTGAGTGGCTCAGTTGGTTGAGCATCTGCCTTCGGATCAGGTCATGATCCCAGGGTCCTGGGATCGAGCCCCACGTCGGGCTCCCTGCTCAGTAGGGAGCCTGCTTCTCCCTCTGCCTCTCCCCGCTGCGTGTGCTTTCTCTCTCTCTCCCTCTCTCTCTCTCTGATAAATAATCTTTAAAAAAAATAAATAAATAAACACCTTGACTTTTGTAAGTATCAGTTCACCCTTACAATAGTAATAAAAAGTAAGCATAGGTGGGGGTGCCTGGGTGGCTCTGTCAGTTAAGCGGCTGACTCTTGATTTTGGCTCAGATCATACTCTCATGGTTGTGAGATCAAGCCCCGTATCTGACTCCACGCTTAGTGCTGAGTCTGTTTGAGATTCTCTCTCTCCCTCTCCCTCTGCCTTTCCCCCAACTCCCTCTCTCTCTCTCTCTCTTCCTCTCTCAAAATAAATAAAAAAATTATTTTTAAAAAAAAGTAAGCATAGGTAACAGTCTCAACAAATATGTAATATGAGTCATAAGAAAAGAGAAACATCAACTGCCAGGCATTTGGACACATTTATTAATCCTCACCACAACCATAAAAGGCTTAAATTATTTCATCCTACTTTACAGAGATTCAAATTCATATAAATATCAGGACCAAGGATGAAAGCTATGAGCTCTAACACCAAATGTGAAGTATTTTCCTGCAGAGAATGTTCAGGGGACTTCCTGACACTGTGAAAGTGAGAACATGGAGAGTGTTGGCCTGGGAAGGGGACAATCATTTTTTCTCTCCGCATGCCCATGCCATTTAAAGAGCACTTCCTTTGTGCTGGATTCTTTATGAATGACTCATCTCCTCCTCCTCTAACAATGCACTGAAGTAAGTACCACTCCCCTGGTGATATTTTTTCCTCTTCAGCCTGACTCAGCCTACCTTTCTTCTCGGGGTAAATGAAATAAAACCAGATGAAGTAAAATTAAATTGTGTGATATTGATAAACAGCCTAAGTTCTGCTTGCTAAAAGGTATATGAAAAATAAGGGAAAAGATTTGGGCAAGTCATGAATCATGTGTTCTAGACAGGGTGGGTTAGTGAGTAAAACCAATGGATGATGTGTAGGACTGACATTTCAACTTGCTATTTTAAAAAGAGAGATTATCTTACATTTCTCAATATATATTTCATGCTGACCTGTTCCAAAGAAGAACTTCCAGGCAGAATTATACTTTTCTGAACACGTCCAGACGCCTCACTGTAGACAGAAGTGTCTTGGCTGTCCTCTTTGCGGGGTCCGGGTCTCTTTCTGGAACTCACTGGCTCTTCAGAATCCAGAATCTCCTTGAAGCTCTCATCTATTTACTCCAAGAAAAATCACACGAATTTGACTTGCTCTTTGTCACTTTAACATTGGCTTAACACACAGTCATCTAACCACATTTTTTCTTATTGGGGATACAGCTTGGTTTTCCATAATCTACAATTTAGCAAGTTATTCTCTGTTTAATGTACTGGGAAATTGCTAAAGCCCAGAACAAGTTTTATGATTAAAAACAAGCCCAATGCCAACAACTTTTGTTCTTCCTGTCGTGTCCCCAAAGTTGAGTCAAATACAGGCTCTGCATGAAAGCCTTTTTCCCACTTACCAAATACCTCCTGAAGTGTAGATATTCCACTTTTCTGTGTGTTAATATTACATGTTGTTTACCTCAACGTCTTACCACTTGCTCACCATTTTGCTGAAACCAACTTGGGAGGTGAATATGTATAGGAGAAGCCGGAGCGCTTGGCTTCATTTTTCAAGTTAGGACCCCTGAGAACAGTTCCTGAGCTTTGCAAACACAGAGGGACTTTATTTGGGCTGCCTTGTTTATTTGCATATTTGTATGTGTGTACTTTCTTTCTCTCTCTATCTTCTGAAAACAGTATCATCTACAAAATGCATCTATTCATCTAGCTAGATGCACACTGTAAATATACAATAATCCTCTCTCTTCCAGCTTGGGAAAAAATGCTGGAAGATAAAATGTAGAATTTTCCATGCCTCCAAAGTTAGAATTTTAACAAAAACCTAAACACTTTTAACCAAAGGAAGAGAGCTTGGTGTCCAGCAGGACATGAAGTAGGATACTGGGAAAGAGCCCTGGGCTTCAGTGTCCAGAGGATTGGTTTCTTTGTTCACTGGTTCACCGTATTACCTTGAACAAGTTTTTTTAAACTTTCTAAGTCTCAAATATATCCTCTTGAACAACATAGCTGACCATATAGTACTGACAAATAGTGCCTGGCTATTCATTCTGTAAGTTCCATAAGACTTTTGAAAGCTCACAAATTATTTCGAAAGCCTATCAGGTGCCACCTGTAAATGTGTACATGGGTGGTTTCCAGGATCCAAGCTGCAAAGACTTGTCAGAATGGAAGGGACATAGTAGGTATAAAAGGGCATTGCTCAATGCCTAGCACACACACACACACACACACACACAAATATTCAATATATATTTGCTGACTCACATATTAGACTAAAAATATAGAAATCTCACTAATTTAAACATAGCCATTTTATGTGTCTGCATGGCTAGAGTATGGTGCCCAGTTATTTGTTCAAACACCAGTCTAGATGTTGCCAGCGAAGTAATTTTTTTAGATGTGATTAACATTTACATTGGTAGATTTTGAGCAAAGCAGATCCCCCTTCATGATGTGAGTGGGCCTCATCCAGTCATTTGAAAGCCTTAAGAGTAAAGATTAGGGTTTCCCCAAAAAGAAGGAATTGAGTCTCAAGACTGCAACATTCTCTTGCTTGAATCTTCAGCCTGCTGCCCTGAGGAATTATGACTCAAGACTTCAACTCCTGCCTGAATTTAACATCAACTCTTACCTGAATCTCCACCCTACCAGTGTGTCCTAAGGATTTCAGACTTGCCAGCCCCCATAAATGTCTTTCTCTTTCTATTGGTTCTATTGGATTCTGCTTCTCTGGGGAATCCTAATTCTTCATTCAAGTGAGGATCTTTCAAAATGAGGGATCAAGCTGGACTGAAAACGAGTCTGTTTGGTTTATAAAGACAAAAAGAAATAAAAAGTTACACAAACTGATAGTAAAAAAGCTAAGGGGAAATGTATCTAGGCAGGAATAAAATTTTTAGGGGATGATACTCCGTAAATGGGGATAAAAAAGGTGGCCTAAACTTCAGGATTGTTAGGAGGTTTAAGTAAGTTAATACTTACCCTATTTAAAATTGAACAGTGGTTAGGACAATGCCAGGCACCTGGTCAGCACTCAGCAAATATTTAGTTGGTATTAATTTTTTCATCATTATCAATTATCTTCATTATTCTCTGTGTGTGTGTGCTTATGATGTCTGCCCATGTATTAATGAATAATTTAATCCCCATAACTACTCCATTGTGGGAGGGATCATATGTCCATTTGGCAGAAATGGCAAAGAAACGTTAAGAAATTGGCCCAAGGTGACACAGTTACCAAATGGTGAAGACTAAGTATAAATTTATTAGAAAAATAACTAAAAATATAGAGGACTTAACTACGAGCCCTCACAAGTATTTTAAAGAATTATTTAAGTTAGAAAGAGACAATGATCATTTGAGAAGAACTAAATATATACTGAGAAAAAAAAAAAAAAACTTAATGAATTTAAATACAAGTGGATACAACAATTTACAATTAATGCTTTGGTAAAATCTCCAGTGTGGTTCTGGCGTGAATTTGTATGTGTTAACCTAAGAATTTAGATTTTAGTTTTTAAGGGATTATCTTTAAATTCCTATATTGATACACATGAGAATTACTTACTTAAAGAGCCTAACATTCACAAGTATGAATTCCCATGCTAAGATTGAAAACAGTATACTGCTTGTTTTCTATCACCCAAAGCATTTATCTAAAAGCTGAAATACACTCTTTAAAAAGAGTGGTATACTGGGGCACCTGGGTGGCTCAGTCGTTAAGCGTCTGCCTTCGGCTCAGGTCATGATCCCAGGGTCCTGGGATCGAGCCCCGCATCGGGCTCCCTGCTCCACGGGAAGCCTGCTTCTCCCTCTCCCATTCCCCCTGCTTCTCCCTCTCCCATTCCCCCTGCTTGTATTCCCTCTCTCACTGTGTCTCTCTCTGTCAAATAAATAAATAAAATCTTTAAAAAGAGTGGTATATAGCACCATAGTAGAGAATCCAAATATGTCATATCTCCTTGTAAGATCATGCAATAGCAAGTAAATCATTTCACTATCTAGTGTTATAAATTCTATGTAATTCTAGAAAACTGAGCCATAGTTACCTTTCCCCCCAGCTTTAGCTATATTTAAGTATTTGCAACCATCAAAAACACACATAGGTTATCAATGAGTGGTTATGTTTAGAAAACACAGATCAGCATTTGCAGGAAAACGTCTTAATGAATTTACAACTAATGTTAATACAAAAGATTGAAAATAATGAGTCTCTTAACCTTGGGCTTCTCCTCGTCCATGCTTGTCAAACAGCCCCATTAATCGATCACAGAGAATCCTATTATCAACTTGTAGGCGTGCTAAAAGAACATATTTGTGATAACTTTCTCATCAGTTAATTTATAAATATACAAATTGAATTACAAAAAGAAATTATTAATCATTGTGGCTCTTTAGTTATTTTATAGGTCATAGACACAAATTCTATTCAATATGCTGCCTTCCTCTGAAATAAAAAAAAAACCTTTTATAAATCAATGATAACTGGAACAATGACTTTTAAATGTATATTGCAGGGTATTCATAATATGGTATGGTATATGGTATTCAAATATGGTATGAATACCATAATTCATAATTCTTCTCCAATAAAAATGATCTAAAATTCAGTGGATTATGACATGCACTACACAAAAATCATTTCAGAACAAGACATTATGGTTTGTCAAATCATACAACAGAATATATAAGCAAAGTGAATGAGGGTTTTCCACTACCTACTCTCTGCATATCCTATTTTTTACTGCATATATGCAAGAAACAACAAACTTAGTGGCGTTAGGTGGTCTTAAATTCTTTTATATATGCTATTGCAATATAATAGCAAATACAAGTGCTATTTAGTTCTTTTGTGAATTTAAAGTAACAAAGTTATGTCATTAAAAAACGGAAACCAGCCAACCAACCAAACATAAAAAAAAAGACGCATGATCAAAAAAACATGGTTCTGGAAAAGGGTTTAAAGAGTCATCTAGGTAGATCTGCCACTAGATAGAACCAAACATAAATGATGCAAATTTGGATTACCACCCCTGTCTTAGGATATACATACATACATCAAAATGTTCCCCTTCCTCTAGGAGGCAAGTGGATGAACTAAACTGTGGTTGTACTCTTACAGAGGTAGTTTTAATAAAGCCCACATATTTCTACTACTTCTCACTTTGTACTCCATGGGCGAGCCAACTCTGGGGATGGTAGTCAATTCTGCAACTCACATCTGAAACTCCAACAGCAAGTGTTCTAGAAGAGCCTTAAGGGGTTTTCACTGTCCAAGTGAGAAGTTCCCGAAAATTCGAGGTCCCCCCTTTCCATCCATCCCTATGATCTTTTGAACATCAGGGTTGGAAAGAAATTCAGTGTAGCCTGTGCTTGTGGATTTGGGACTAGTAGTCAGGAAAGCTTAGGCTGCTGGAGCCAGATAGAATGTCTGAAAGTGTAACATAAAAAGGTCTTTGAAGTCAGCTTCTGCTCACTGAACCCTGCAGATGATTTCCTCAAGTATCAGTTGACCTTCAAATGTTCTTTTCCTGCCAAGAGCCTGCACAAACCTCCTACCACCCCAACATTTGGGGGAAAGGGAGAAGGGGCCATCCCCAGAAGACATTTTGCAGGTTGTGCATTAGGGAAGCATGAACTTGTATTCCGCCATTGCCTGGAACTTGATAAGTCTTAGGGAGAACAGCAACAAAACTTGTAATGCTGATATATGGCTCATAAAAGAATCTTATTTAGAAATTAACAGTGAGCAATAGCAGATGCATAGATGGGGAAATCTCTGCAGACATAATAAAAGCCTCATTATAAGGACTAGGTAATCCTGACAGACCAATGAGGATCACAGAAAAGAATAAATGAACATACATCTTGCATGTCAAGCGAACAGATAGGCAAAACATAAATGGCATTAATACAGAGACACCATCTTTAGAGAGAGGCAAACCTACGTCCAAATCCCAGCTCTGCCACTTAACTAGCTCTGTAATCTTGGGGCAACTTCTTAGAGTCTTTGAGCTTTAACCTCCTGGCCCCCAAAATGGGATGGAAATGAGGGTTAAGAAGATAACACACGTGGGTGCCTGGGTGGCTCAGATGGTTAAGTGTCTGCCTTCGGCTCAGGTCATGATCTCAGGGTCCTGGGATCGAGTCCCGCATCGGGCTCCCTGCTCGGCGGGGAGCCTGCTTCTCCCTCTGTCTCTAATGAATAAATAAATAAAATCTTTAAAAAAAAATAAAGAAGATAACACACATAAAGCATGTTGCTTCACGCCTAGAATATAGTAGGGACTCAGCAAAGGGCAGCCACCCCCATTTCCTTATTTGTTTGTTGTTAACTACTTAGTAATTGTATGAAGTACAGAATTTTTCAATAGTTTAGGTTCTGTCATTCTGAACTAGTGTTTTCGTTTTCATTATGAAGTAATGAATTATAGACAGCTTCTGAGGTGTCATATGAGAGGAACCTGAACCAAAGTTTCTAGTTCCTTCTGTAGGCAGACCTGGTGAGAAACCCCCTCGGTGTTGTCCCAACAGAACCCTGGAGGGTCAAATGGGTTACATAAGACAGGAACTGAAGGCAAGAGAATGTCCCCTTCAAACTTAAATTCAACAATTTGAATCAATGTGCTTACTTTGCCCTTCAGAAGTTTTCCTCAAAGGGAAAGGTGGGGAAAGGCAACAGGAAAAAGGCAACACCTAATGGAAAAGAGAACAGATAGTGCCAAAGATAGGGATCAGATTTCCACTCCATGCTTGCCAAACCTCTGTGATTTGCCCTGCCGAATTCAGTCTCAAGACTGCTTATCAATGCTTGCCTGAATTTCACATCAAACTTTACCTGAATCTCCACCCTACCAGCCTTGGCCCTATAGATAGACTTGCTAGTCCCTACAATCACATGAACCAATTTCTTAAATCTCCCTCTTTCTATCCATCTGTCTCTCTCTGCATATACACATATTGTATATGTATTATGTACATGTATGTTATACATGTATTATGTGATATGTAGAGACAGAAAGAGAGCTTATTTATTGGTTCTGGGTTCTGGTTCTTTGGAGAACCCTGACTGATCCACAAGCTAATATCACTTACATCAAATCATATCCAAATTGTAAGATAATAAAATGCTGTGCAGCTATGTAGTAGATGCCTCGTAGCAACTCTCAGATCTATACTCCATATTAAGTAAAATGTATTGACCAAGAACCAAGAACCAATTGTCCACTATTTTTACAATCTTTGCCAGATAAAAAATTAGCATAATATTATCCTTCCAGGATCTACTGTTAAAAAAATAAAATAAAATAAAATAAAATAAAATAAAATAAAATAAAATAAAATAAAATAAAATAAAATAAAATAAAATGGTAGGGGCACCTGGGTGACTCAGTTGTTAAGCGTCCGACTCTTGATTTTAGCTTAGGTCATGATCTCAGGGTCGTGAGATCGAGCCCCGAGTCAGGCTCTATGCTCAGCGTGGGGTCTGCTTGAGACTCTTTCTTTCCCTCTCCCTCTGCCCCCCCACTCACCCTCTCTCTCTCTCCCAAATAAATAAATATTTAAAAGATAAATAAATAAAATAAAATGGTGGTGGTGATGGTGGGTTATCGACACTGAAAAAGAGTCATAAATTCTGTTTAACATTGAACGTTATCTAACTGATATCCCTTTATATTTAACTTCCAAGAAGCACAAGGTAAGAGTAAGTGATTAATTATAGTTATAATACTGTCCTCGATTTCTCGTACATTTACTTCTTTGTATAGGCGTTCTCAAATCCCTCTTTCATCTATATTTGAACTTTGCTTTGACCATATGCATTTACATTTCTATTATAAGCTGTCTCCAACTATTTTGGAAGCAAGTAGAGTACAAATTATAAACAGCTTTGCCACATCTACTGTGAGAATGGAGACCATTCTCAGCGATCAGACTGTTGACATTCCGAAAGTGTCGACATCACTCTGAAGGGACACTGTTATTGTGAAGGGCCCCAGAGGAACCCTGAAAAGAGACTCCAAGCACATCAATGTAGAACTCAGACTCCTTGGAAAGAAATAGAAGAGGCTCTGAGCTGACAAGTGATAGGAAACAGCAAAGAACTGGCTACTGTCCACACTGTCTGTAGTCATGTACAGAACATGGTCAAGGGCGTGACATTGGGCTTCCATTACAAGATGAGGCCTGTGAAAGCTCCCTTCACCACCAACGTTGTCATTCAGGAGAATGGTTCTCTTGCTGAAATCTGAAATTTCTTGGGTGAAAAATACATCCCCAGGGTTTGGATGAGACTAGGTGTTGCTTGTTCAGTAACTCAAGAAAGATGAGTTAATTCTTGAAGGAAAGGACACTGAACTGGGATCACACTCAGCTGCTTTGATTCAGTGAGCCACCACAGTTAAAAACAAGGATGACAGAAAATTTGGAGATGATGTCTATGCTTCGGAAAAAGGACCAGTCTGGCAGGCTGATGAATACTATCTAAGTTGCCCAGCTACAGAAACAGCAAGATGTCAGATGATTTTTCAGACTTATTTGTGGTATTTTAAAGATGCAATAAAAGCTGTATTGATTTGAGAAAAAAAAACAAATTATAAACAAATAAATATGAGAACAAAGCTGAACCAGGGTGAAGATAGATGGGGCAAACACACAAAATGCTGTGCGTTGCACCTTTGCTCAGGTGGCCCCTCCCAGCCCTGTTACGTCCCTGCATGGTCTTCAGCTCTGTGCCACAGAGGATGTGGAAGGCAATCTTGTGTTCATTAGCACTGTCTATTCCCCTAGATGAAATAGGCTTGAATACCCAGCAAAAAGAAAAAGAAATGATTACTAATTGCAGGCTTAAAACTGGATATAAAGACAGCTGCCTGCTCTGAAACACGGGACCCAAAGTGAACCCCAGGCATTGGGCAATCACTGCTGACTAGGGAAGAGTGGCCCACAATATTTTGGGTCACTTGCCTGTCCGTGCTTACAGCCATTCCTCATCATATATCATTGAACATCTTATTAAGCCAACTTTAGTCCTTACATTACAAAAACTCTATCAAACACAACTATATATTGTGATCTCCAAGGATTTAAAACAGATTTCAAGAAGAATCCAACTGATACTCCTCTCCAGAACTCATTGGGATTATCTTTCATCCCCCAAGTGTGTTGGGCAAATATAAGGTTGAGATTTTTCCAGTTTTCAATTCACCTTGATTTGAGTTACTGGTAAAAACTGCCCTGAGAGTAAGTTCTTGCCTTATCTTGTACATACGTCTTTTGATGATATCCGTGGATTCTGTGTCATCTAAAAAGAGGTGTAGTTATTGAAAACTGTCTTTTAAAATAATTTTTGCACGTGCTTAAGCCCCTCTATCTGTGAAGATTTACCCCATCTTCCCCCTAAAAAGTTCAGATTCAGTGACTGGTGCCCAGTGTGAAATGTCATCTTCTGAATTGCTATTTTACAACTGCAACAGACTCAAGGTTATAGAAGAAGAAATCATCAGACCACTGCACCTTTCTTTGTGGTTCAGAACCCAGGCAGCGGTGTCCCGCCTCCAATGAAAGGAATCAGTAGTCACCATGCACAGAATCTTCTTACGCTAGATGAATTTTGCAACTCATCGAAGAATGCTCATTTTAAACTCAAAGAGCAGAGATGGAATTTGTAAAGTGATGATGCTCCTCATACGCATAACACTGGCCTTATAATGACACCAAACTGCTTTCGGCGGCTGGTCAAATGAAAGCAAATCCCTGCCTCTTCTCTCTGACCAGCTGGCTGTCCTTGATCAAAAACTACCTTCGCTGCCCATCATGTTGTTAGTGGTTAAAACTTACCATTTAAATTGTAAGCCGCAAAATCTAAACGGAACTGCATGTGTGATCTTTGTCACCTCATTTTCATGAATGGAAAAGAATATTCTGACACAAAAATTACATACTTAATTCTAGCTCACCCTCTCTGCTGACCTCCATCCCACACTGCCTTGGGTTGATTTCCTCATCCATCAGTGGGTCAAAGTAATTTCTGCTATATTCATTTCCTGTGGAAAGTACATGAAGTAAGGGTCAGTGATTATTAGAAGCACATGAACCAAAATGTTAATTTTGAAATCGACACCAGCACAGAAGGGCCATTTTAGCTACTTTATAAGCTTAATTTTTGTACAAGTCCTTCCAGGCCTCCCTTTTTTGTAATTATCGTCTTGCAAAAGGTCAGAAAAGGTAATTCAAGAAACGAGTTCATGCTTTCGGTTGCTAAAAAATTAATGAGAATATGATCAAATGTAGACTTTAGAATAATAATAAAAAAATTTAAGCAAAATTATGTTTAGGATATACTCAAAGAAACGGACATTGTTGGATTATAATGATGTTTAGGGTTCACTGATTGTTCTGTTTACCCACTTGTATATCCATTCCCCAAGTCTACCGTGTTGTTGTTTCCAGAATTCTGTCATCGATTTTGTAGTGTCTTAGTTATGAGAAACTGTAGCAAAATTTCCATGTCAACAGTTGAATAAAAAGAAAAAGTGAAGAGAAAGAGAGAGAAAGAAGAGAGGGAAGGAGGGAAGAAGAAAGAAGGAAGGAAGGAAGGAAGGAAGGAAGGAAGAAAGGAAGGAAGGAAGGAAGGAAGGAAGGAAAGAAGGAAGGAAGGGAGGGTAAAGGAGGGCAGGAGATAAAGAGAGAAAAAGAAAAGAAAGTAAAAGGTCCTTTTTGCTCTGTCAACTTAAGTTACATGAAGGGAAGGTACAAATGATCTAGTCAGAAGTTTTGTTCAATACACATCAACAATCTCAACAAACAATCCAAAAATCCTCACTTTATATTTCTCACTTACTTTTGTCCTTGTCTCAATAATCAAACTGTAGCATCAAATAGGACTTTGTAATAAAGAAGAGTCTGTTATCAATTTTCCAAACCTAGTTTCATACTTCCTGCAGACTGAAATGTGTATGTCTGTTGCTAGCAATTTGCATTCAGTAAAAGATAACCTACCCTGACGATAATTCAAGTTGCCTCCAACACTGCGAAAGAAATAAAGCATCGTCGACCAAAAACAACAATAAGGTTGCAAGTATTGTTCACAGGAGAGGGTTAACAAATACCAGGTATACTGTGATCCTCCATTGTATATTTGATTTAGGATCAAAAATAATCCAAACAGCAGCTCCTTTTCCAAGACTAAATGGAATTTTGATATGAACCGAGGTTTAATTTATATTTCTGGACTGGCACATTTTCGCTGTCAGTCTCTGTTCTATCAACGTAGTAAGTACAAGAACTGAGAATCTGCTTTTCCTTGAGGTCTCAATAAAGAAAAAAATAAATGAGTTTCATTTTTGTTACTTTATCTGTCAACAACTACTAGGCTGGTATGAATCTTGGCAGTATGTAATCAAAGTCTTATGTACTGCAATAACACAGTCATTCTACCTCATTCATGTAATTGGTTTTGGGTTTTTTTCCCCTCTACCACAAAGCACTGTGGTACCCAAAGCACACTCTTCCATATGCTAGCAAAATAATTCGCCTGTATTAAAGCAAAAGTGGCAGTGTATTTCTTATTATTATCACGTACCCGCAGCAGTCTACCATGGGGACCCAGATCCTGCAAACACCTCCGTTCAGGTACAAGACTCGATTCTTTGTCTACTGAAATGACTTTGTAAATAATACCAACTTAATCAAGACCTTGAAGAAAGAAACGGAGTGCAGTCGTTTTTAACCAAAAGTCTGGAGAAGTTTATCTGGTCTGTAAGTTCTCAAACCCTTTTCATCCCTGCTGTCAGTTCAAAAAGGAGGGTCCCGCCCAGGGGCGCAAGAAGGAAGCCTGCGCGCAGGAAGCCTCCAGATCCCCAGGTCTCCCCTCGGGGCGGGGAGCTTCTGCGCGCAACTAGGAGATGGACCCCTCGAAGGTCTACGCATGGTTTCAACATCTAGGCAAATCGTTCCTCCCACATTCAGGCTAGGTTGAGGCACACATGTTAGTTATAAATGCCACTCCTGGAGTGATTTCTGTTGTGCTTCGCATTCTGGGATACGGCAAATAGCATTCTACAGGTAAGGGCTTATGAGGAATCTTTACAAAGGCAATGCACGGATTCCCTTTAAGCATCCCCAAATTCTACATTATATCATATCATATAATATCATATATTATATTTACATATATTATATAATTCATATATTTTATATAATTCATTTGTTTTATATAATTCATTTATTTTATATAATTCATTTATTTTTACAATTTATACATTTTCCACTATATTTCACATTATGTTGTGCATTGTTTTACATATACAATATTACACTTGTTTATTGTCTGTCTCCCCCCCACCAAAAAAATTTAAAACTAAAACAAATTTTTTTTTTTAAACTAACCTAAAAGTGCTCCATGAGGACAATGACATCAGCTCTTTGTTCACTGCAACCCCTTCAGTGGCTAGAAGCATACCTGGCACACAGAGGTACTCATAAATCCAAATTCATTTGTTAAATAAACCTCTCTTGGGAACCCTACGGCAATACCCAAATTCTTCCCTTGTCCAGATGTTCTATCTTGATTAAATGAGCAACTTTTTTTCCATCCTTTATTCATCTCTTCCTTTCTATTCCCCATCCCCTCTATCTTTTCCTTCAAGACCCCCTTCCCTTTGCTTTTGTAACTGAGTGCTTTCTAGGAACCAAGATTCTAAGAACGAACAAACAAAACCCTGTGGCCCTGTCTTCAGAGCACAGTGAGCTCCGAGAACAAGGAAGGGAAACATGGTCAGTCTGGTAAGATTTCATATTGTGGTAAAGGATGGAGATCTGTTTGGGCACATAGCAGGAGCATCCAGCCCATACTGGGCACTTCAGAGAAGTCTCTCTGGAGAAACTGCTATCTGAAGTAAATTTTTGAAACTTCCTCACTAGTCCCAGCATCGAGTTTAACTCATGTTTTTTTGTTTTTTAATATTTGATTTACTTATTTGAGAGAGAGACAGAGGAGCAGAAGGGGAGGGAGAAGGACAAGCAGACTCTGTCCTGAGTTCAGAGCCAGAGGTGGGGCTCAGTCTCACAACCCTGAGATCATGATCTGAGCCAAAATCAAGAGTCGGATACTTAACTGACTGAGCCACCCAGGGGCCCCTAACTCATGTTTTTGTTCCAATTATTATTAAGTTGTTGTACAGTGTCACATTATGCTGCGTGAGGTTTCATATCTATTCATTCGACCAATACTTAGTGAGTGCCTATTATATAAATACGTCAGTAAAATAAAACACTCAAAAATCCTTCTCTTCACAGAGCTTACATTCTGGGAATGGAAGAATAAAAGCAAATGAGTATATGGGCGCTGGGTGGCTCAGTTGGGTAAGCATCTGCCTTCGGCTCAGGTCATGATCCCAGGGTCCTGGGATTCAGTCCCCCTGTGGGACTCCCTGCTCAGCGGGGAGCCTGCTTCTCCTTCTGCCTCTGCCGCTTCCCCTGCTTGTGCTAGTTCTCTATCAAATATATAAATCAAATCTTAAAAAAAAAAAAGCAAATGAAAATGTATACTTTACAGTTTTTTGATAGTGATTAGAGATATGGGAAAAAATAAGAGCCAGATAAGGATGATTATGCCCCCACAAGGAGGAGTAGGGGACACATCTCTCACATAGGCCTTTATTTCAAACCTAAGAATGAAAACTCGGGATTAAATCACTATACTCTCAAGACTCTGGAGATAGGGAATCCATAATGTTTATAGTAATTATATTTACTTAAAATTTATATGTAATTTATAATTATATATAATTTATTTATAAGTAATTATAATACTTATAATGTATTATTTGTAACTTATTACAATTTTGCCAATTTCTTGCTATAACATAAATCAGCCTACGAGTCAGATAAGAACCTACTCTTAAATATCAAAACAATTCCTCCTTTTTATTGGTATATCTTGCCCTGGTAAATCAATAACCTAAATACAGTAAGCAGAGTTTAAGACAATGAAATACATGGAGCTTATTATAAATTTGGAAACAGCAGACTTCATCTTAACATTCGCTCCTCCGCTCGTGTTTCATTGGATAGTGTCATGATTTAATAGAGTGGGATGTTTTCAGAATAAGGTGTCTATTACCAGAAGGTAGGTTACTAATAGGATAAATTTCTGAAAGCGCCCTAATCATTCAGAATATGCTTTTGGATATATCTACAGTCATCTCGCAGGAAAATTAATAGACCCACTGAGAAATTCAAAGTAGGGCGTTTAGCAATGTACATACAACAGATTTTAATTTGGCTGATATTTAACTGTTTGTTATATTCAGATGAATAACCTGAGAATCACATTTGCAAATATGTATACATTAAAGTATGGCTCTCCATTGAAGCAACTGGGTGTGATACATAAATTAATAAATCAATACACTGGTCTTGTCCGTACTCTAGATAGTCTATTTTTGTTTCCAGCTCCTAGAATTAGTTGTTTGGTGTTTAGAATCGGCCTCAGCTAATGCTTTGCTCATGCTGCTTTTTACTGATCTGGGGGAGGAAAGCACATGTACTCGCCTCTGCCCTTCTACACATATCAGGTTCATTTAACTCAGAACAGCACAGAATGTAATCAGGGCTTTTACTTAAATTACACCGTACATGAACTTTGGTCAGGAAATCCTCCAGTGTGCACCCATGCAGTTCCTTGGGGGCTGTAAGAGCGAGAACGAAATTGCCCACCAGAGGAAGGTTAGTGTGAATCATGGAAGTGTCTTGGCTCAATGAGGCAATCACTTCCTTTCAAATCAGCTAGGTTAGTTCCAGAGGAAGAAAACCTGAATGCATCTGTCTGTTCCTTGGGAGGTTTTTATGGACTCCATTCTTGTCCTTTTCCTGTGAATCCACCTGCTTCTGCTCAGCCTTTTATCACCAATCATCATGTTTTCTGTAATATACTATAAGTTAAATAAGTTAAATTAACACAAGGCTTGCATGTGAACTAAATAACTAACTAAACAATTTACATCTTATGATTCTAGCAATGCATCAACGTTTTACAAACTAG